CACAGCAAACTGCTTCAGTTCAAGAGTTTGATGCATGACTCTGTCGATGTCTGCTGTGATTGTCGTCTAGTCGAAGGAAGTTAGAGTTTATTTTGACAGTCAGTTTCTTGTTTTTTTCTTGTTAGAGAAATATTTCATGTACTTCTTTTTCTTCAACCCTTCCTTGTGTGTGTGATGTATATACTCTATAAACACAGTTTTACTGATTTTGAGCATGTGTTTTCCATCCTTTGGTTGTCTGGTTAACGGTGCAGGGCTAATGGAAATACATTTTTTCCTCTCAGTGACTCCAGCAAACAGACAGATTGATGCCTCCACGGGGTTCCTGAGAAATAATCTAAAAAATGTTGTGAATGTCAGGAAATCACGCTGCTTCCTTTTTTTTTTTCTTCGTCTGTGAAGGCTTCGTTCTGTCACAGGCGACACGCAGGATGGGAACAAAAACGAGTCCCTCCGCTTCGATTGGACCCCTGGTATTCATGGAGGTTTGAGATTACAGCCATTTGTAATTACATAAAATCTGCAAATACTTGACACCTGGTCCAGGAAAGCCTTGGAAGAGCCTATTTTAAGAAGAGAGGTGTTTATATTGTCCCACAGCGGAAAATTCAGGTGTAACAGTAGCATCGAGATATGTAGGTTCACACAAAGATTAAAAAAAAAAAACACACAAAAATCAACATGCTTTATCATAAGAACAATATTATAAGAAACATTTTTTTTGAATATCATGGAAAAGCTGTTTAAATCCCATAATTTCTTCAGAATGTTCAAATGTTTTGAATTCCTGTTTTCATGGGTTTTTTGAGCTGGAATCCCAAATTATTTAACAATAAATAAACAAATACTTGAAATAACTTAAACTGTGAGCCCTGAACGTTTAACATTTTGAATGGAGTTATGGAAATTAAACAACTTTTCCATGATATTCACATTTTTTGGAAAGGGACTGTATGAACCAAACAGAAACTGTCATTTTCTGCAAAGACTAATATTGATCTATGGTTCACCTTCCCGTTCCCATTTACCTTCACTAGACTGTGAAACCAAGGGAACCAGAGGAAGTGTGTGGACATGAAGAACGATGACTTGGCTCTACTCAAACTTTTCAGCAGAAATAATCCCTGTGCAGCTTTTTAATGGAGCTCTCATCATCTGGGATAACAAGCTGACCTCGGGAAGAACTTCGGCTGCAACACACTTCTCTTCACCGGAAATCAGACCAGCCCAAACTTAATTCTAAGTCTAGCTTATGGCTGTCTTTTTCTGCATCAGTCAGCCTTTTTTGGATGGCTCTGTTAGAGCCTCGGGAACCTGTGAAGAGCTGGAATAGAATCGGAGGAGAACAGATCGAGTAGTTTCCTCTCTAATGAGCTCCGTCAACATTTCTACCTGTAAACAAGCGGGGCTGTCAGGGGGAAGGGTCTCCTTCTCCATCTCTCCAGCAAAACCACATGTTGACGTCTCTTTGCATTCCAGCAAACCCGACGTCTCGGAAAACGGATGCCGGCTTATCACTTGCCGCCCTCTGTCTGCTCGGTCTTCCTGCTTCGTTCTCTCTTGTCTTTAACATAAAGCAGGCTCAAATCCATTTTGGGGGCACCATGGAAAGTCATTAGTCAATATTTTCTCCCCTGTCTCTCTTCCCACAAGTAGGCTGTCACTTGCCGGCTCTGTGCCTCTGCTTGAGAAATTATGAATTATGCTAGCGTCTCGCTCTCCACATGGGGCCCACGACTGGGAAGCACCAACCATAGAGCTGCTACTTTGTGTATTACTCCTCTGAAAAGTTCCCTCCAGCCCTGTCAGTCCTGATTTCTATGAACCCCGGTTGCCAAATATGTGGCTTTTGCCGTATTCAGACATATCACCTAATTTGTCTCAGTATTGTACAACCAGTCAGCCGTGGTCGGTATGACAGCGTATCAGGAGGCATCTCTTTTCCTGTTGTCTGTTATAAGCGGTGCAGTGCAGACTGTCCTTCTAGTTTCATCTCAATCCCCCGCTACGCATGGATTGACATTGGCACAGTACAATTGTCTTGCCTTTCACTGATCACAACAGTTGGGATCTGTTTGACTTCAGGGGAGAGTTTTGATTCTTTGAAGCAAGGTTCTGTGAAGCTTTCAGTACCTGTAGCAGAACACTGTCATATTACAGAGGGAATGAAGAAATGTAAAGAAAACCCTGAAATGTTAAAAAGCAACCTAGTTTTAGGGTGTTATTGCAACTGAATGAGGAACTGTTCATAATTGGGGGATAGAGTGCTATCTGAGGCAGCTGACCAGCTGTCATTCAGCCATCGGACAGGTGATTGGTTCAACTCCAATGTTACACAAAACCTGTCAGTGTCCTTGAGCAAGATCCTAAAGCCCAAGTTGTCTAGCTGTTCAGTGTATGGACGTGTGACTGGTGGAACTGTAGAAAGTTCAGATAACTTAGAAGAAATTTGACTTTGCAGTTTGACTCATTGAAATCGGCCTCTGTCTCTTTTAGAAGCACCTGATCTTTGCAATACTCTGCCTACAACAGGAAGTAGTTGAAAGATCATGGCGCAACAGATTGTTTTAATAGATTATTGTGTGAATTAACTTCTTCGCATGTGATGTTAATTGTGTTTATTTAACTTAAACACTGCATTTGCGAAATTGTGTGTTTTCGACATTAGCGTAATATTGACAAAGATTTGTGCAGATTTGTAATGGAAAAGCTGCTGGTTTTCCATTACATGGATCCATGGATTTAAAAGAATTACATAGTTCATAGATGGTACACGCTTACACGTGATGCTATAAGTGTGTACCATCATGCTTATAAAAGTGATGGTTTACTCACCGAAGCTTCAAGATAGATACGACATGGTGGTTCTTCCTCTGAGGAGCTGAAACTCACATAGCCGTTGAATGCTATATTACTATGTTTTGGAAGATGATTTATTAATTTTCCTTTAGAAAAACATTATTGGTGCAATGGAAATAACTTTAAATCTAAACCTGCCGCAGGTACGAAAAACAGTAAGCCTCTCAAAAAGGTAAGTATTTGATGACTGCTTACAGAGTATTTTGTCTCATGAACATATTATGGTTAAATGGCTTTAAACAGCTAAAAGCATTTGAAATGGATGCTCTGTTGAGGATTTCTTTCCTTGCTCTGCAAACTTAATGTGATACATCTGTCCACTGTATGTACGTAAAACTGTTACAATAATTTCACAAAAATGCATATCCCTTTAAAGGAGGCAGGGAGGCAGATTAAAGTATCATTTTCGATTAAGAGAGCATGCATGTGGACAGGAGGACCAACAAGGGTGGCTGTTAGTCTTTCAGTCCCCAGCACATTGCATAACACTTGTGTTTAATTCAGCTGTGGGCATAGGGCCTGCAGGCTGCAGTCGGCTCAAAGAAATCACACGCGACAGGCTCTAAGCCAGTGACTCAGATTAAATATGGTGAGTGTTTGCCCATCTGGAGCTGTATGACAGGGTGACGAACATTTCAAACAGGGGTGCTCGCAGCTTGTGCTATAGAGGATTATCAAATAGAGTCTGCCTCTGTTTTTGTTGATGCATTCAGGTACAATAATAGTGTTGTGAGGATTTTTTATTTATTTATTTTTTGTTGCACATTGTGGTGGATTGTTTTGGTGTCACGCTCTGTACCCCTATATTTGCCTTTTAGTGTAGGCTAGCTTATTAATGCTAATTCTGTTACAGCTGATTTAGCGTTCCTCTTGTTAGTGCTTAGAACATACAGAACAGTCCTCTGGGGGTCTGCGTTTCTGCCAATTTCTTTAGTCTTCTCTTGGAGCAAAGCAGCGAGGAGGTGGGGGATGCACTGATTTAGGAAGTGTGTCAGCCTTTCCTTAGAACTTATGCATAAATAATCCTCTACAATCCATTGATCGTTGACTCAAGACTCGAAATGCATCAAACTATTGATTAAGGGTTTGTTAAGAGACCCTAATTTAAATTCAGCCCATTCTAAAGTGGCCTTTACCATGTGAACATATGTAAGCCAAAGCAAAGGACTCAGGCGATATCGACGCTCTAATGTCAGTAATGCTGTTGTCACAGTTAAAGCATTGCTGTTTCTAATACTCCATGTGAATTAAAAATCTTTTGGTGTATCATTAAAAACTTTGAGTGTTATTGCATCACAGGAAAAAATGTATTCAGTGATAAATTATTGTTTTTTCAAAAGGTCCTGCCAGCTTTCTCTCCTCTCAGGTGACACAATGAAAGTTGGGTTTAAGCGTGTACTTATAGTGTCCAGCAAGGGACATTCCCAGGACCAATGTGTGACCCTTAACCTGAGACAGCCCCTCTGCTGACCCTCAACCTCCACTCTCCCAGGTTGAGGTCATCTCCACTTACTTGGACTGAGCACTTCTCTTTGTACTTTCTTTCTTTGTCTTCTTCATGCCTGACAATACCTCGCTGTTATTCTTCCAGATTGGGTCCCACCTTTGGTTTTCTTGATGTTTAAAGGTTGATAAGCTCTTCAGATTCCATAACACCAATTCCTTCCTTTATCTCTCGTAGCTACTTTTTGTGAAGATTTTAAAAAGTTTCCTCATGATCTTTTCAGGAGACGTTGTAAAGAACCGTTGAGTTGTGGGTAATGGTCGATGATGTTGGCAGAGGTATAATCCAACAAACCATTTAACATTAAAAATTTCTTCCTTGCCATTCATGCCTCAATTGAGAAAAAGTGATATAATTACAGTGCAAATGTGTTCTATTTTTTGCTCCCAGCAATATGAATTGCTTCTGTGTTGCTGTTTCACTTTAAGACGGTCCCACTGAGCCCCAGCTGGGGCCCTTGAGCTCCACTATTCACACTCGTAGGAGAGCCCACAGCGGACTGCTGTGCCAAGTTACTTTGTCTGAAATGAGCCCACAATGGGACTAGAGGGACGTTGTTGCTTGAATAGGTTGGCTAAAAATGTCAGTGTCGAGCAGCCGCTCACAGTTGGCCCCTACATGTGATTATAACCAAGCGATGAAGTTGCCGTCACATTTTTCTTCCAGCTCCTCTTGTATCCAAACTTGACATCCAGTCAGTGATATAATTTATGATTTCAGACTCTCAGAAGTACAATGAGAACCTAATGACATGATCAGCCCAGTTCTACTAATAGACCATTGAGTCTAACGTAAGGTGTCTTCTAACCAATACATATCTGTAAAACTGATTGCCTTTGTCTTCTCTTTTCTCCCAGGGCTGAAGGTGCGCGAGGTGATGATCAATGTGTCCCGCCAGCAGGTGGAGGACTTCCATGGCCCCGAGGACTACTGGTGCCTCTGTGTGGCCTGGAGCCACCTTGGTACCTCCAAGAGCCGGAAGGCAACTGTCCGCATCGCCTGTGAGTGTGGAGGTCATTCATTACCATCGCTTTTCACAACAACAAACAAACAAACAAAAATAATAATAGGAGAACTTGTTTATCTGTGTGTGTGTGTTTAAGAAATGAAGAGATGGATCGAAGTTAAATTTGCTGTTTGTATGACGTCCATCTTGCTGCATTTCTCCGCCTGGTGGAATCAAGTACATAGCTCTTAGGTAGCTTGTAGCCTGTAATCTTCCATTTCTCTTTATTACCCCAATGATTAAATGGCTTTTTGACAGTAGACAGACCATTTCACACACTACCCTACCATCACTCAGGAGAAAGACACAAAGATTACTGTATTCCACTAGAGGCAGAGACTAACCTCCTCAGACTCTCAAATAATTACAGCGCATTTGGAGAAACTTCAAAACTGCCAGCGAAAGTCCTTTAAGTCCTTTAAGTCTGCATCTGCATTTAAGCTACAAATTCCTGCTAAATATAAAACTCATTTGTCCAAATATTTGGTAGTATTGTTGTTCGGTCTCAGTTGCAGAACATTGAGTGAAAACAACACAGAAAGCTGTAATATGAG